CGTTTAGATTTATATTTTCGATGAGAGGGAAGAAGAATTTGCTTCGATGAGAATTTAGATTTTTAATGAAGCAGAAAAGAAAGTAATCAGAAATTGTGAAAGATAGCAAATATTGAAATGATTTTAAAAAAGAGTTAAATGTGATTGGTTTAAAGAAAGATAATTTTATATTTGAATAAAATTTTAGGATAAAAAAAAGAGAATGAAAAATTTTTGGTTAAAATTTGAGTGAAAAATAAAATTTAGTTACAATGAAAATTTCAATTTATCGCTTCACAAAATATGATTATTATTATTATTATGATTATTATTATTATGATGTGGCAATAATGATGTAATTGTATTGTCGTTGTTGCCACCTTATTTTACGTATTGTTATGAAAGAATATAAAGAGAATTGAATAATGAAATTGAAATGAATGAGGGAAGAATAATATTCGTATTTATGGATGATGAAAGACGAAAAATTTATCGTTCATTAAATTTTACTTTTTTTTTTGGAAATAAATAAAATTCCTTTGAGATTTTAAAAACAAAAGAAAAAGAGCTGCTTAATATTTGATAGAAAGTTTGCAAGAAAAGAAAGATTATTTAAGAGCTATCACTAATTAGTGTAAAACTAAACGATAGCAATTGGATGATTCAATGTTTAATTTTTGAAATAAATAAATAATAAAATTTTTAGTTTATCATTTGATTTATATTTTGTTTATTATGAAATTATATATTTGATATATTGCCATTTGTGATATGCTAATTTTTTAGGTGTTGATTATTTATAAATTATCATTTAATTTATATTTTGTTAATTATGAAATTTTATATTTGATTTATATTGCTACCTGTGATATGCTAATTTTTTTAGGTATTGATTATTTATATAGGATTGTTTTGCATTCGTTGTGAATTTATTAGCATTTTTCAATCTTTTAATTATCCTACGCTTCACTTCCTTTAAAATAATCAAATCAAAATGATGGAGAAAATTATTTGAAAGAAGAAAAAGAATTTTTTTAAATTTCCAATTACTTAATATGATTGTATTATTTGATGCTTAATCATTTAAATAAATGCTAATAATAATATTGATTGAAATGATCGCTTATGGTAACAGCAATAGTTTGTGTCATTTACTATCAACTGTCATAATTGAAATTTCCAATTACTTAATATGATAATGTTATTTGATTTCCAATTACTTAATCTAATTGTGTTATTTGATGCTTAATCATTTAAATAAATATTAGTAATATTATTGATTGAAATGATCCATTGTTCAATAGTGTCATTTACTATCAGCTGTTACAAATTAAATTGAATATTATCATCAAATAATAATTCAATTATTAATAATTATCATTTTTCTTACAACATTTAACAGTGTCAAATTTTTTGTCATTCATTATCAATCATTGCAATTAGTGATAAAAAGATAATAACATGATTATATCAATTGAGAGTGAAAATAATTTTTTGAGAAAAGAAATCAATCATTTTTAATATTTTCATAAAAACTACAAAACAAAAGATGCTATTTTCTCTCTCTCTCCCTTTCTCTTCTTTTTCTCTCTCTCTCTCTTTCTCTCTTAACTTAAACAATTATAATAATATATATATATATATATTGGTTCATATCATTGCTGTTTTTTTGCTTTTCATTTTACGAAATGGTAGAATTGGGGATATTAAATTTAATTGTCCATTAAAGAAATATTTAAATTTAATGATACGGAAGCTTTTCCTATAAAATATATTATTAAAAGATGGTAATATTTGTTGATTTGATTTATCTTTTAGTATCGAAAAAATTAAACACTTTGCGCTTAAAATAATATATGACATTTGCGCTATCGATAAAAGCTATTGTTTCATTTGTAAATTAATTATTGAAATTTAATTAGATTCTACTGGTATTTAGTTAGAATTTATTGTGCACTAAAGTGACATGTGACATTTACTCTATCGATAAAAGCTATTGTTTCACTTGTAAATTAATTGTTGATGTTTAATTAGATTTTACTAAAATTTAGTAAGAATCTATGTAAAATAGAAAACGAAATATTCTGCATTAAAGTGACATGTGACATTTATGCTATCGATAAAAGCTATTGTTTATCTGTAGTAAAATGCAAATTAATTATTTATCTGTAATTAAATTCAAATTAATCGTTTATCTGTAATCAAATATAAATTAATTGTGTGTCTGCAATCAAATGTAAATTAGTTAGATGAAATTTTAATAAACATCACTATCGTTGAATATTATTGAATAAGCATTGAAAAAATGCCCAAAATAATAATTGTATCATTTAGTAAAATTTCATTTTCAAATATTTTAACAACTCATAATTATCACTTAATTATATTTTTCAATTTCACTATCCAACGTTATTCGTAATATTAAAATATTTTGCAAATCATAATTATCACTTACTTATATATTTTATTTTCACCATCCAACGTTATTCATATTATTAAAATATTTTACAGATCATAATTATCATTTACTAATATATTTCATTTTCACTATCCAACGTTGTTCGCATTATTAAAATATTTTACAAATCATAATTATCATTTACTGATATTTTTCAATTTCATTATCCAACGTTATTCGTATTACTAATCCTTGTTATTCCCTTTTTTTAAAAAGATAAAATTTAAACTTTTAAAATTATTTTCATATCATAATCATAATTCTAATACATAGCATATTTCTTCTTGGCAATATCATTTGGATGAAATATTAGAATTGCAATTTGGATCAGTAAAGTTTTGAAAAAAACTTTTTCTCTCTTAAAATTATAAATGCAAAATTATTTCGAGAATTTTTAAGCCTTTGAAATCTGAATAATATACTTTACTTTTAGTATAGAAAAACAATTTTAAAAGAAATGAAAGATAAATCGAATCATCGATGCAGCGACTATAATTCTAATCGTATTTCAAACTTCACAGAGACATTAAATACTTCAGATTTAACAATAAAACGAAATTTCATTTTTTTAAATGAGAAGTATTTAACTTTGTGATATACTAAAATTTAAATGAAAATGAAGAGCAGCAAAAAGAAAAGAAGAAAATTAAATTAATCCATTTCGTTCCAATCTGTCATCTGTCAATTATATGAAAGAGACAAAGAATGAAACTTATAATAAATAATATTCTCAAATGATCTGTCAATTATAATAGAGACAAAGACTGAAACCTATAATAAATAATATTTAGTTATAAATAAAAGAACAAAATTTGGAAAGTTATATACTTCCAAAGTAATAAGCTTGAATTATATGAGATAAGTTTATTTCACTTTGACTTTATAACATTCCTATCAAATGAACACATTAATTGAACCATTTGGAAAAGTTTAAGAAGTTGTATTTTTTTAAAGTAAATTATTAGAAAGAGGATATTTATGCCTCCAACAGAAATATACCCAATAGAATGTTTCAAAGTTTATTTCAAATTTGAATTTGTTGAAAAATAAACGCATCAAATTTGAATTATATAAACTTCAAAACTTTTAACTAAACATTATATTAATTGTATAAAATTTAATTGCCATATAGATATGTACGTAATATAATGAACAGTAAATGCATAAAATTTAAACTAAAATTTAATTACCATAGAGATATGTATGTAATATAATGGTTGTATATAAGGATTGAAAATTGAGAATTTTGGAAACAACCAAATTAATTGGAAATTTCTTGAACATGAATGGAACAAAATGAATCACTTTAAAATCTCTTATCAGTTTATACCTACAAAGATAAATTTAGAAAATCAATAAATTATCATTAAACCTATCATTAAATCAATAGAATACTAACATTAAACTACTTCTAATACTACCTATTAAATCATTCTTTAAAAAAATATAAAATAATTTTCTTGCGGAAATATTCTGAAAACTGTTGAAAATTGAGAAGTTAAAGAAAGAATAAATATTTGATCAATAAAATGATATTGCAATATAAAGAGATTAAATTCGTTAAACCAGAAGAAAAAATGGAGCGAGCTGAACAGGTTGGTTTGAATTCAGGAATACATACTATCATAAGGGTTTCCTATCCGTTTCTTTCAATTCGATTTTCTGTTAAAAAAGTTTACCGTTTCTTACCCTCATTTATAATAGCTATACTTTATCCTAATTAAAACGATGATCGCTTTTGAGTTCATTTTATAACTTTATTAAATATATATTAATTTCTTTAATTCATATCATCATTAAGTAGATTGAATGAAATAAATTATTTCAATGCTATTTATGCTATCAGGGACACTAAATAACTTTCAAATATTTACATAATTAAAATATCTTTGTATTCTTGATTTGTCACATACACTTTAAACGAACATCATAAATTATTAGCCTTCTTTTCTTTTTGGTACTTATGCAATTTCAATTTCAGATTATTTCAAAATTTCCTTTGATTACTTCTACGATTACTGTCTACTCTAATAATTCCTTAAATAATGTAAGGAACGAATAACAATTTTCGTTTGCAATAATTATTTGTCACTTTAAATTTATCCTTTGCTATTCGTTTTTCTTTATTTTAAAAGGAAAAATTCTATAGTAAAATTGGGCATAATTTTAAAGTAAATGCAAATTTGTTATAATCTGTTTTCAATTTTCCGGAAATATTTATGCCTGAAAAGTTGGTATATTTTAGTGCTGTAATTATTTTACCAACCAAAAATGTTATTTAAAAGCAACCAAAGATTTGCTAATATATTAGCATTCAAATTCTTTTCTGTCCACTAACTATTATTTTTAATTTTCTTTTTTAGCAAAAATTCTTCTCGTAATATACTATAAAATAATGTATTGGTAGGCAATTTTGACATTGCAGCGCAATTTGTAGAATATGGTAAATATTAAAGAAAGACATTTTTTTGTTTATTGAAATTGCAATATATTTTTTTTTTAATTTTAACTTCCAAAATTGATTTAAAAATTTTAATTTGATTTAAAATTTTTATTAAAGGATATGCCGAAAATTATTAGACGCGATAATTTGGTACATCAAGCTAGCATTGATCGCTTACAGAATGCTACAATAAAGCAACAAAATGTTGAAAAATATCGTAATGAAATTGCGAAATCATCAGAATATGCAGGAGTAAGTTAAAAAGAATTGTTAATTTATTACAGAAAAGTTTAGCGTTTAATATTATAATATCTTTGTAATCAGTAAATGTTCAAATCAATGTTGTCAATAAATCTTCTGATAAAATGATTGAAACCTATCGATTTGGTATCATAGCATTCAAAAGATTTCTCAAATTTCTCTATTCAATAATTTCGCTAATCGATTATTGGAATGAACTGTCACGAAGCAATTGTGCTTTTTTGATTTGGTTGAAATATTTTCCACGATACAATAACACTTTAGTATGATCATGAAATATTCAAGATTAGAAATATTCCGATGCAAATAACTATCTTCCACTTCTTTTTACTTTTGAAGAAAATCATAAGCATAATTATTAAACATTTAATAATTTAAGAAAAAATTTACTAAAGAGATATTTATTTTCATCCATTTAATTTTCTTCTTTTCTTTAAAACAATAAAACATTGATTAGCTCTCTAATTAAATCATATTCAGATTCGTCAAATATCGATTAATCGAATAACATAGTCAAAGTTTTCTCAGTTTTTGTTTCAAAAGTAAGAAAAAGAAAATTCCTCTGAAAAAAGTTATATCATCCAATTACTTATGAAATATTGCTGAGACAATAATCACTTAAAAACAAGAAACAAAGAAATGTTACGATTATCTTTACAATAATTGCAACAACGATCGATGATCACTGTTGCCAATCTTTGGATCTTTTTTAATTCATACTACATTATCACTGTTACTAATCTTTTCTGTATCTTTATTTCTTTATTCTTTATTATTTGGAATTTCGAATCTTTCACTGTCAGATGATATTTGATCTATCCTATCTATTTAGATTCTGAAAGAACTAAACGATGAAGGAATCGAATTGATTTGGTCATCTGATGCTAATGTACCAATGAGAATTACTATCATATTAGCTGCAGAAGGTTTTATTTCCATCAGAAATATTTGTTATAATTTATTTCTAATAAATTAACAAATAAATTTTAATCTTTCAAATGTTTTATCAAATTACAAAATGATTGCATAAATATTAATTAAACCTTAAAAAATTAAATAATACTTTTGCTTCTCAAACAGAGGATAGCGCTCAATTTTTGTCAACAATTTTGATGGAATATAAAATGAATGGTATAAATCTCAAAAATTTGGAAATATATCCGGAACCGGAAAGAAATAAATCGTATATAGTAACCGATACAAGAAAAAATTTTAAAGGTTGTTAACAAATTTTGTAAATACTTTGGATTTGGATAAATTTCTAAATACATAAGGAAAGAAGGAAGTGATTCTTAATAGAAGCGATCGTTTATAGTGGCAATCATTTGTCCCATAATATATCTTAAATTGATATTGATAATCTTAAAGTTAAAATGATAATAATAATCAATTATCAAGCATATTTGTTAATTATAAATAAAAGTAATTGAACGTTTAATCGATTGGGAATAATTTAAACAAATTTTTTGATTTCGATGAAATTTTAATTTTTCTTTTTATTTATTTTGTTTCAGTGAAATTTGAAATTTTTACTGATTGTGAATGCACGAAAGATGCACTTCTGAATGCAATGAAATGTCTGGCAGATCGATATCACATCTTAAAATTGAATATTTATAATAGTATCAGTGAATCGCTATCTTTTCATAAATGTAATTAATTTCAAATACTTTGTAACACAAACAAAATGTTAACTTGCTTTTCAAATTTTTTTTAAAAACTGAATTTAACATTATAAGTGATTAAGTTTTATTAAGGTTAACATTATTAAGTGATTAAGGTTTATTAAGGTTAACATTATAAGTGGTTAAGGTTTATTAAGGAAGTGATTAAGTGATTAAGGCAGGAAAAATTAAGATATTCTATTTTGGATCTTAAATTGAATTTCTACAATAGATTAGTTAAGATATTGTAGAAAGAAAGTATTTTCCGATTTTAATAATTTTAAATTAAATTACATGATCATTTCAAGTTTCATGGTTTCCAAAACACATTTCCGATCTTGATAAATGTCATAATTGTGAAGTAAAGTATGAACCAACATCTGATCCGCGACATCCGGTAATTTTTCTCCGTAACTTTTATAATTAAATATTTATTTTAGGAAGTGTAGTTAGAAATATTGCTAATATTTCAATTTGATAGAAACGAAATAATTTTTCGAGTGATATACTAATTAATCGAATTACTTATCAGAATATACAATTACGCAAGAAAATGAGAGTATTGTGGTGACTTTTGTCAAATTTGATTTAATCATTATTTTAGGGATATAAAGATAATGCATATATTCAACGAAGAGAAGAATTGAATGCAATTGCTAAAGCCTATGAATAGTAAGTTTGCTAATTGCCCATATTTGATTATCCTCTTTCTTAAAATAAAGTACTTTTTAAAATGTATTTCTTTCTTTATCAGTAACTATTGATAACAGATAAAAACTGTCGTAAAGTATGCGTGTAAAAAATGCAAAAATGTTTTCTCATCAATAATAATCTTCATTAAAATTTCAATCTGTTTTAGTGGTGAAAAATTGCCGGATATTGAATATAATGTAGAAGAGCATAAAACTTGGGAAACTGTCTTCAACAAATTGAAATCATTGCATCATTCACATGCTTGCATGGAATATCAGAAGAATTTTAAACAAATGGAATTGGAAGGCATTCTAGAACCTACTCGGATACCAAAATTATCACTTATTAATAGATATCTACAACGTAAAATTTACAAAATTAAAAAAAAATTTTAATTAATCACTTATTTAATATCATCGAATAATTATTAATTGTTTTTAAATTTATTTAAAGAACACTGTTCTTAAAGTATATTATTTTATTTTTCCAAAAAATTTGGAAGGCCATCTAAGGCTTTACTTTGCATCCAATCTTTCTGTTTCTTAGGCCTTAATATATTAAAGTAACATTGCTGATTATATAAAATCTCAAATAGTTTATCGCAAAATTTATCATCGCGATAAATCAATTATCAAAATTTCAAAAATTTTAAAAGCTTATCTTTAATCTTTGATTTTTTCCTATCTTACTAATCAATAAGATCAATCTATGAGTTGTACAAAAAATGATAAAGGAATTATAAATGATATTCTATTGCAATATTCTTTATCATTCAGCGGCGTAAACAATCATATAAATTAGAAGTTTTATTCGATTTCAGTTTAAGAGAGCAATTATTATGAATGATATCACAAAGTTCAGAAATGATAGTTTGCTAACAGTTAGCTTTATAGGTAAAACTGGATTTACACTTCGACCATGTGCTGGATTACTTTCAGCACGTGATTTCTTGGCTAGCTTAGCATTTCGTGTTTTCCAAGTTAGTTGTCTTCATTTTAATTTTTTTCAACGAAGGTCATATATTTTTAAGGTTTTTAAAACTTCTAGGACCAACTAAAAATTTATAGAATAGCTATTGTTTCGTTTTATTCAGACCACCATATACATACGACATCATAGTTCACCACATCATTCACCGGAACCGGATTTAATTCATGAAATCATTGGACATTGTCCGATGTTTGCTGATTCACTCATTGCTCAATTTTCTCAACAAATTGGACTTCTATCATTGGGTGCAACTGATGAACAAATTCAACAACTTGCTACAGTATCAATTTCAAACTTCTAATTTTGAAACAGATCTTTTTCCATAATATATGTCTGATCTTCATGTATACAGTATATTTATTCCAATATTTATCGTAACATTTGCTTCTGCAATTATCACTATGATGATACAGTTTAAATAGAATAAAGCAATTGAACAGGTTTATTGGTTCACTATTGAATTTGGCTTATGCCGTGAAAATGGTCAACTAAAAGCTATCGGTGCTGGATTACTTTCATCATACGGTGAACTTATGGTATTATCTTCTATAAATTAATTTAAAAATTTTATATCATAACTTTCGAATTTGAAGTTAATCATAAATTACAAAAATTTAATCTTAATTATCATTTTCTCATTATCACAAAGGTAATTAAATTTCTTTTTATTAGAAAGACATTATTAATGTTTAGCCTTACTATCCAATATTTCTTACGATAGCATAAAATATTACAGCATGTCTTTTGATAGTAGTAATATTAGCAATTAATGGTGCGATAATTGAGATGATGAATTTTCAGCATGCCTGCTCAGATAAACCACAACATGAAACTTTTGATCCGCAACGTACAGCACTGCAAAAATATGAAGATTTCGATTATCAACCACTTTATTTTGTTACTGATTCAATCTTTGATGCAGTAATTAAATTAAGGTATTCCATTGTTTCTTTTGCTTACTATTAATAAAATTATAATTTTTTTGATTGAAACTTTGTAATCGATTTGTTTTTGCTTATTTTTTTGCAGCTATTATTTCTCGCACTAATTGATTTCTTTTAGTCATCAAAGAAATCTTTTGTTTTAACAGAATTCGGTATTTTAAAATTCGATATTTGTTTTTTTAAAAATTCAAAATTTAACAATTTAATACTTAAAATTTAATGTTTTTCAACAAAATATTTAGTAGAAATGGACAGAATTTCGTTTTCATCGATTATTAAAAAAATGTTTTTTCGAAGCTTTTGTCTTTTTTAATTACGAAAGATTTTCATTTTTGACTGCCAAATTTTCAGGTAATAGTTAATTATTGAATTGAATTTAATTTTATTATTTAATAGTTTATGAGTTTATGCGATTTAATCTTGCAATAATCTTTTTAGTTAGCTATATTTGGAATAAATTCAAAAAAGTCCATTAAAATTTTGATCGAAATATTTTTTTTCAGCTGCAGAAACTGAAAACAGAAATGAAATGAAATAATTGTTAATCAGGAAAATTGTTTATAAATCTTTTTGGTTTTCCGATTATGAATTATCAAATTATCAATGATTCATCCATCAATCATCGTAAAAGAATAAATTTTTAGAGCATTCGCGCAAAATTTTCAACGTCCATTTGTGGTTATCTACGATCCATACACGAAATCAATAGAAATTTCAAGAGAGATAAAAGATCTAAAGAATGGATTAAATCGTTTTAAAAGCGAACTATCGTCGTTTACTGAAGCAGTGGAAGCATTAAGCAAACAATATAACTGGTAAGTTAGTTATAATAACAAAAATACTAAATATATAATAAATAAATTTATATGATATAGTAAAAATAAAAAATGTATAATAAAAAATAAATAATAAAATATATAATAAATAAATTAATTGTACCATCAAAAATATTAAAATATAATAAGTTTCTAAAACTAATAGATAATGAATATAAATATATAATAAACAAATTTCAATCCGAAATGGATTCAAAAATTGTCATCCAAATTTTGAATTTAAAAGAATAATTTTGAATTTAAAAAAATTGTTGATAAAGTATTTAAATCTTTATTTAGAAAATCTATCAATGCTGCATGAATTGATGTAAAAATGTTGAAATCAATAATTTCAACGATCAGCAATAATCGTCGTATGTGATATGATTGTATTAGTCAAAAAAACTAAAGCTTGTATTTTCAAATCAAAACATTTATGTCTACTATATATAATAATTTATTCATCAAAAATAAAATCTTTACAATTGATGAAACAGTTTATAATTTGTGCAGAAACTTTGCTTTTCCTAATCATTTTTAAATTTCATTTCAATCCATTTATATTATCACAAACTCAATTCAGCTTCATCATCAGACGGATGATAAGATGAATTTCTTTTATTGTAATATTCATATATCATATCTATAACAAAATTATTCTATGTTTGCAACAAAAAAAAGAATTAAACAAAAAAAGGCACACAACTAAATTATCAATCAAATAATTATCATTAGCTGTCAGGAATTATCAGAATATTTGCTCTCAGTAAAATTCAAAATATTCGATTCTTTCTTTCTTTTTTAAGACAATAAAGTAGCAACTTGATAAGTGAAGTATGTTGAAAAAATCGGAATTTTTTAAATAAACATTTCGAAATTTCACAAAGATTCCTGACAGCTCTTTAAACAATTGTATTTGCATAATTCATTTATTATGTTTCATAATTTTTTTGTAAAAGCAAAAAGTATATAAATATTCAACTTGTCATACTCATCTTTGACCTCCTGAACTGCATTTTACTAAGTAAACCTTACTAAGTGTACTCACAATTGGCTATTTCAGAAGAGTATTTTACATTTCCGGAATTCCGAATTATGAAAAACACTCTGTCGAATTACTTATAGCCTAACATGTAATTTCTAAATTACAGAAATCTAATGACAATAATTGATTATTATTAAAGGATGTCTGAAAGATTATCATTTAGATTCGTTTCATAATTGAGGATGAGAAGGTTGGAGGACGTCTCGGATTAGCCTTATAACCCATATCGATATATAAATTACTTGGACATGATTGTGGCGATTTAGCCTGAAAATGCTTTGTTTTAAATTCAAGCAAAATTACATTATCTATTCCATCAGATATTCTGTTGGATATCTTATCTTATCAGAATATCTTATTTGCTACTCCAATAATGCATTATCCGCTGGCTCAAATAAACCATATAGCTTAAAACTGTAATGAAATCGCAGTCAAACTATGAAATTATCGTCAAATTGAAATTTAAAATTGCACTAATACAGTAATTACAAAATTCTCTCTATGCTAATAAATATTTGTTTTTAAGAAGCTAATCAAAATTAAAATTTTCAGTTGAAAATCCGTAAAAAAAAAGAAAAACCGGATTAGAGTATAGATTCCGATTAAAGAAATTTTCTCCGATAAAATTTTTAAATGATATCAAAAGAATATATGTGATTATTGACCTTATACTTGATATTAATATTTGTGCGTAAAAGACGTCCATTTAGTGGCTTTAGTGGACGATAATTGGGTGACATCAAAACTGGATTGAGTTGCTTAATTTCAGTTTGTTGAAGATCATTCCAAATTTTGAGCTGAAAATATTCGAAGTAATTAGTTCATTAATTTGAAATTTAGCTCACTAATTAATTCACTAGTTTAAAACTCTGTAATTTATATTAATTAAAATTTTTTCCTGTTTATTTACATTTCTACTTCAATTTTATCTCATTTCCAATTTTCCTTCATGTATTAATATTGTTCCATAAAGATGAGAAAAAAGGCAATATTAGGTCAAATCTCTGAATCTCTTTAAAAAATTAACTATCAAGAAGTTGAAAAAAGAAAAATTAAAAATAATCATACATCTTCTTTGGTGATATAAATAGGATTATTCATAATCACCCAGGTTACTGTCTCAAAGCAACCTGGAAATGTCAATGATCCTTCATATGTTATGTAATCTTGAGTTTGTGGCAGAAGTCCGTATACATTGAATCGTTTAAGTATTGTTTTTGTACCTAAAAATAGATTGATTTTAGATTGTTCCTCAAATGTTATGCAACAATTACTTTAATATTTTCTCTATTATTTCAATATTATGCAACAATTATTTCAATACATCTTAAATTGATTCTCAAATATTATGCAACAATTATTTCAATATATCTTAAATTGATTCTCAAATATTATGCAACAGTTCAGTGTATCTTAAATTGATTTTCTTTCAAATATTATGCAACAATTATTTCGATATTCATATACTTGCAAATTTATTAATACAATATCTCTTTGATTGATTAATACACAATTACTTTACATTAAAAAGTTATATATATAATTATTGTATTTATAAGAATAACATAAATGGAAACCTTTATAAATAATACTTTGTGATGCTACAGTTAATTTCCGTAATTCAGTATTCGATACTGCACCAAGCTGAAATAACTTCTTTTTCTCTCTCTCCCTCTCTCTCTCTCACTCTTGTCTTTTTTTTGTAAAAAACTTCAAAAGAATTCTTTTTGTAAAATTCTAAAAATTCAGAAATAATATATTTCTATTCTTTCTAATTCCTCGTCAGTTATTTTTGAAGAAAATAAAATTATCGAAGAGTAATTCAAAATTTTTGAATTAATCAAATAATTATAAAATTCCAAAAATATACTAATAAACTATCAATGTAAAAAATAGTAAGCAAAATTATGAGAGTTAAAATTTAAAATTTACATCAACAATTATTGAAATAGCCAAAAGCCCACGTGATTCTGACATTGCTTCCGTGAAATTAGCATATAAATCTGTATTGTATGCTAGTAATTGTATCTAAATGTTTGATAAGATCATTTAGTTATTTACAAATAATGCAAATGACTAAAATCAAAATTTCAAGATTTCATTTACATCTATAACTTCTTTGCAGAGTGATGTTAGTATTTTTAACCTTTAACCCTTATATAGTTAGTACTTAAAAATTAAGAAATTTCACTTTTTTTGCGGTAAGAAAAAAATAGAATGGAAAACCTATTTTACCTCAGCTGGAAATCGAACTCGATCAATGGTATGCTCTGATCCTCGTTCATCATTTGCTACTAATCCAAAATGTATCACAATATGATGCAATCGATACCTATTCTTGCAAAGAAATACAGTAGAATGTTATAGTTACAAAAATGATGCACACGCTAACATACTGTATATTAACAGTAACATGATAAATAAAAATTATGGATTATTGTATTTAAGAATTACAAAAAAATAATATTAATATATCACTTGTAAGGTGATGAAGGACCGCCACTGATATTGATATTCCCTTGTTCAGTTAATGAGTCATTAATTGTTATCAATGGTAGTTGACCTATATTTTGCAATATTGCTTGTACCTTAAATTGAAATAAATTCCTTAGTTAATTTATACAATGATAAGACTCTAATGAAGATAAATAATTTTAATCTATCGATAGTGCACTTTTCTGATAATTCTAGTGATAGCAAATAATTTGATAGCAAATATGATACTAATAGTGAAGATAAATGATTTCTGATAATTCTCGTGATAGTAAATGAACAAATTAATCAATGGTTATTTAATATCAATGATGCAAAATGAATTAATTGGAAGAGTTAACAGTAGTGTGGGCAATCAAAGATCACTATTCATGTTTTAAATCTATTAAATCTTAAATAAAATAAATTACTGAAGTGGTTTGGAAATAATGCTTGAATATAACAGACAAATAAAATATAAGCATACCTGATGTTTATTAATATCAAGAGGTAGTAGACCAGGATCGTATAGTAGTACTGATGGATCTACATTGATCGGTGATTGTAGCTGACCAGCGGTGCACATTCGCCAATGTTTGTTGACAAGGCCCCAAAAATCGGGACCTATAATGCAAGGGTAGAAACAGGCAGTCATCAACCATGGAATCATACCTTTCCTTTCCCTGTGCTGAAATTCAATCAAACTTTTAAAAGTATGCCTTATCCGTCAGTTACACACCTTTCTGTATGCTGCAGCATTTTCAACATTAGCTTCGAAATTTTATCAAATCTATCTTTAAAAATGATGGAGGAAGTTGTGGAGAAATAGGTCAGCTTACTTGAACCTTTTAAATCAAAATTACTGCATATGAATCTCAACATCAAAGTAGAGCTCTTAACTCCAAAAAGAAATGTTCGAGAAGAGAAAACGAGAGAGAGAGAGAGAGAGAGAGAGAGAAAGATCCAATTTCTTATTATGTTTATCATTTATTTCTGTATTTCCGGAAAATATTCTTTTTTCACCCATCCGTTAATACGCTCTCTCATTATGAAATTAAAATTCTGAATTATTCAATAAAAGATTGATTCACTGTAAAATGATGTGAATCGAAATAGATTTCAAATTTAAAATGATATTTACAAAAGTTCACTCATTTTTATTGCCAGCCGTATGTAATTTCGAGTAACAAACATATGAAAGGAAAAACGTAATGAGTTTAAAACAAATCAATTCTTTATAATTTAAAGCCATGAACTTAAAATAATGAATTCTTTTGCAGTTTAAAGCTGATGAATTCGTTATAATTTAAAGCTATAAACTTAAATTAATGATTTTTAACAAATTTAAAAATCTTTTAAAACTTCAGACAAAAGAGAAATTATTATTTCATTGGTACTGCAGATAATATTTGATGATAAGAATGATAGTAATGATAACAATTAGTTAACTAATGATTGTCCTTCAAATATTTTTATTTAATCCTACCTTTGATTAATATTACTACGTGAAGACTAAATAAGAAGAAATGAGGTGGAAAAAAAAGTCTTATGAAGTATATATTTATAATCTCTTATTACCTTAATTATTTCCCCACACGCAATCTTTTTCCTTTTCTCTCAATTCCATTAAAGGCATATTTCTCTTAAAGAGAGTACCATTAAGTATTAAGGCATTGCTATTACTTGATAAATTAAAAGAATGCTTTAGGCCTTCCATTTATTTTATTAATTTCTTTTTTACTCTTTTAAGCTCTAATAATGATGAAAAAGGATTAGAGTGAAAAATAGAAAATTAAGGAATGCAAATAAATTAAAGGATAGAATAGCATAGAAGAGGAAATGATCATAGATGATAATAAAAGTTTTTGAAAAATTATTTCAGCGTTATAAAACTTTTGCGAATTGTCCACTTAATATTACTTCACTTGTCCACTTTAATACTTTCCTTGGCCACTTAATACTTTCCTTATGTCCACTTAATACTTTCCATCGTTTGGGAAGGAATACTTCAATTAAATTACTACTATATAATATTAACGCCAATTTATTTGTATCTAACAAACTTCCAGATAAGATTCACTTCTTTCAGATAATTAATGTTTTAACTTATGTTAAGTAAACGCTTATCTATTGATATTAATGTTAGTTAAAGGTGAAATTTGTTGCAGTATATGTGTGAATAAATAATGCTAATAAATTGTTATATTCATTAAAATTTTATTAATTGAAATATTCAAACTAGAGTTAAAGTTTAATTAAATTAGCAAAAATTTAATGATTGTGACTTTTAGTTATTAAATATTAGCAATTCAAATAATATTATTTATTACTGTATGCTTTACTTATTATTATTATTATTTTTGTTATTATTATTATTATTTATACTATTATTATATTATTACTTTGTCATAATTATGGGATTCGTTCTAAATTCTGTCTAACATTTATTTATTAAACTAATATTGTACTTTGTAATA